TCGACCGTCGTGTCGTGCGGCGGAAAGGTCCAATAACAGGGGAGATCGTCCGCCGTCTCGTGTGCTGTGTGGCTCTGGTCCTCGAGGTCTGTCTGCCTCGGTATGTACTCGTGGCCTGTGAGTCATCTGGCTGGACAGACTGACCTATAGCAGCACTAGCGGATTGCCCCATATCCGGGGCTGTCTCTTGTCTGTCAAGGTGAAGGAAAGCAGTAGAGGCGAAGCTCTCGCACGAGACGTCATGCTGCGCGCGGTTAAGCCCGCATATCTGCTCGGGGATGGGTGAAAGAGGGGGTCCAGCAGGCGGAGCACTCAGGTGCTCGCCGCTAGGGGGAGGCTGGGAGGTGGCTATAAGAACGACCGAGCTCCCAATCTCAGCGGGGATAGGATGGGCCGACTCATCCCCTTTCGGGGGAGCGGTAACGGCAGTAACCCTCAAATCCGAGGGTCGGTCCGGGCTAGATGCGTGCACGGTCATAGGGCCGGCATCACGCGCACTATCATCGGATAGGTGGATGGACTCTCCCCTGGCCGTAGCGTCCGGCTGGTCCATGTCGTCTCCAAGGAGGTCATCGTCATCCAGAAGCGTAAGATCGGTAATCTTAAGTGGCCCGCTGGAGGAAGGAACAGCCTCCTTCTCTGCCTCTGGCGAGAGGATAGTGGAATATGAATGATTGGCCTTGAAGGCCGTCTGTAAGGTCTATCTAGGAAGAAAGCCCGTGGACTTGGGCTTGGGTCCAACTAAGGCCAACTGCTTAGGCCGGTTTGGATGAACATCCTTCCCAGTTTGGGCAGTATCGACAATCACAGCCTTACCTTTATCCTTAGACCCCTTCGGGGTCTCGGGCACGCGGACAGGGCTTTTGCCCTTTCCCTTCGAGTCCCTCCGGCTGGTGGAGGGCCCCCGCTGGTTCGCGCGATGGCGCTGCGGGAGAGCGGGCCGTGGCTTATTGCCACTGATGTAGCAATCGGCCGCAACATGACCTACATGGCTGCACGAGGTGCAGAACGCGGGGATCTTCTCATAGATCACCCGCTGAACAAGAGACTCCGAGCCTTGTTCAATCTCAATCTCATGAACGAGCTCATCTCTCAGATCTATCTCGACACAGAATCGCGCCATGTTAGCCCTCGTCTGTAGGGCCGTCGGGGCGTCGATACGAATCGGCTGCCCAATACACTTAGCTAGTGTAGTGATGGCAGCACGGTTGTAAAGATGGGGTGGTAGGCCGGGAAGGCGGCACCACACGGGGACAACCGGCGCCTCCGTCTTCGGGTTAAACCCGGCATAATATTTGAACACCCTAGCTGGGCATCCACACAAATGAATCGAGGTCTTAAGCCAGACCTCGTTGTAGTCCTCGGGGAGGTGGAAAGACACTAGAAGGTGGTTGAAATTGTACCACTTAGATGATACTCTACCCTTAAAACCCAATTTGCCTAGCCCAGCAGATATATCTCGAGGGGCAGGGATAGCATATGAAAACTTAAAGATCAAGGTGTTAGCTAGCTTACCTGCAAGAGCAACAGATTCGGCTTCAGTGTATCGGGCCTTCACTTTGTTCCCCTCCGACCGAATAATGGTCCCGCAAGCGTGCTCATAGTTCCCGTCAAAGGTGAACTCCTTTGGTGTTGGCCTCGGGGCGCTCGGTTCGCCGTCTCTTCTACCCGTAATGGCCTCGCAGAAGAAAAGCGGGCCAGTGGAGGTGCCCGGTTGAGGCTCGGGTGCAGCAGGGTTGACTGTGGAGTCGGCCGTAGGCGGTGTTTCGTATGTGGGGAGTCCGGCGATGACCCTGGCCGGAGAATGAAGATTTGGTCGAGGCCCGAGGATGCCGGCCGCAAAATCCGACTTCGGGGAATTTCCGGCATCGGTGGGGGCCAGAAGGGATTTTACGGTGTACGGGACATCCCCCGGTGATAAGCCGGCCGGCTGAATTTTTCCGGTGGCCGAGGTGGCGCCGGCGCCGGAGATGGGCCGGTGAACTTCGACGGCCGCTTGAGTGATGTTGGCAGCAGGAGCGACGGGTTGTGGAGAGGGCTGCGTGTTGACGGCCTGAGAGATGGCATGGTGGTCGGGCTGGGAGGTGGAGGGGATGACGGGCTGAGATGAGGTGGGCTGGTTGGCGGCCTGTGAGGAAGTGGCCTGAGATGTGAGCTGTTTTTGTGTCGCGGGCCCGTAAAGGTGGGGAATGGGTTTGGTGGATTGCTGGGACATTTGTATGGATGTGAGGTGTGGTAGAAGGTGGACTGTAGTGGCGGGCTGGGGGTCGGCAGGCTTGGTGGTGGCCTGAGGAGCGGGCCCGTATAGAGGGAGGCCCAGCGTAGGGCTGAGCTGAATGGGTTGAGGGATTTGGGTTGAGAGGTTGAGGCCCAAAGTGGGCTAAGGGTTTAGATTAGAGAGAGAACCCTTAGGTGGGCTGGGTTTATTAGATATCAATTGGCCTTGTGATGATGGTTGGGTAGATTGAGAAATGAGATATTGTTGAGAGTTAAGTGAGGATGAATTGGGTCGAAGGTTTACCTTGGGCTCCTGTAGAGGGATTATTTTTTGGCCCATTGTATCCACTTAGCCCAACATATGGCCACTTAGCTTGGTGTTGTCCACGTCTCCCCTCACATCTCCAAACCCTACCATTTGTCCTTCAAATAAAAGCTGAGAAGTGGAGAGGGGATGCTGACGGGTCAACATTGAGGAGGTGGCGGCGGGTGTTATCTTCTCCGACGGGACAAGCTGCATAGATGAAACATGTGACCCGAACAGTAGTGGCGGTTCGATTTTTCTGGTGTTTGGGACTCGGTCTTCTGTCGTCGGCCCAAGAGAGAGCTCCGACCGGCCCTTTCCAAATTCGATTTTTGAAGACGAGGGCTCTGGCTGCGATTTGATAATGGCACCTTCAACAATTTCCCCCTCTTCTTTGCTTTTTTGTTTTTGCTTATTTGTTGATTTATTTTTTTTGAAAAACACTGAGGGAGCTTGACGAGTCTCCGGCTGAGATATAGAGTTTTCCAAATTCGAAACTTTGATGGAGGTCGGGGATCGTCTCTTGGCCAGAGAAATTGACGGGGAGGCCTCAAAACTTATTTTCTCGGAGCCTGCTACGATTTCTCCTTCTTCTATGACATACTTGCTATTTCCTTCTTCCATCTTTTTTGATTTGTTTTTTGCGAGAATGGCCGATATAGCATCTCGGAATTCCGGATTGGAGATGAGAAACTCCAAATCCGGATTATGGCTGGGGCCTGTGACTTGATTGTTAGCCGGTAAAATGGCCGACTGGTTCATGTCTAAATTGAACAAGAAAAATGACTAAAAATGAAACGAGGCTGGTTAAGGACTGAGGTTGAATAAATATAAACTAAAATGCTAAAATGCTTAGCTAAGCGCTGACCGGAGGCCGGCCGGCCGGCGCCGGCGCCGGCTTGCCGGGTTACTAAAAAGGGGGGCAGACACAGGTTTTCTGTTGAACGGGCTGGGGTTGGGTACGGGGAAAACTAGAGAGAAGGCAGAGAAAAATTCTAGAGAGAGAGAGAGCATTCGTCATTAGTTTTGTTGCTAGGTTAGTTGTCTTAAGTTGCTAGGTTATTTTTTTCTTGCTGCTAGGTTAGGTTTCTTTTGTTGCTAGGTTAGTTCTTTCTTGCTGCTAGGTTAGTTGTCTGATGCTGCTAGGTTAGTTGTCCAATACACATAGCAAGCGTAGTGATGGAAGCACGGTCCTAACGGTGGGGTGGGATTCCCGGATATATACTTGAACACCCTAGATGGGCATCCACACAGATGAATCGAGGTCTTAAGCCAAACCTCGTTGTAATCCTCGGGAAGATGAAAAGTGACTAGGAGGTGGTTAAAGTTGTACCACTTAGACGACACTCTACCCTTGAAACCCAGTTTACCTAATCCAGCAGATATATCTTGGGGGGCAGGGATAGAATAAGTAAACTTAAAAACCAGGGTGTTAGCTAACTTACCGGCAAGGTTGTCAGATTCAGTTTGAGAGAAACGGACCTTCACCTTGTTTCCCTCCAATCAAATAATGGTCCCGCAGGCATGCTCATAGTCCCCGTCAAACGAGAAATCCTTGGCCGTCGGACGTGAGCCGCCCTCTCTCCTCCCCGTAATAGCCTCCCAGAAGGAAAGTAGGCCTGTGGAGGTGCCCGGAAAAGACCCGGCTGCAGTTGGGTTGGCCGTGGTGGCTCTCATCGGCGGTGTCGGGGGGTACACGGTAAGGTTTGTCACGGCTGTTGTGTCTGGTCTTGTCACAACCACTCCATCTTCCCGCACGTACAAGACGGTCTGGTCGGAGGTCAGAACCGTCGATGAGTGGACAGTCCGGTGTGCCATGGTGTTTGTACGGGGAGGACCCGTCGGGGGCTGGACCGCTTGGTGTGCTCCGGTGTGGGTGGCTGAGGTGCCGAGAGTCAAAATGGTGTAATTTGCCGGTAAAGAGGGACGGGGACCAAGTATCCGGGCCGCCGGCGGGGATATGGCTACTGGAGACGTTGTTGGCGGACTGGCCGGACGACGGTGGAGGAGCGCCGCCGGTCGTCGAAGTTCTGGCGGAGCCCGCTTGCTGGAAGGAGGTGGTGAAGTCCTGAGCGGGTTTGGGCTGAAAGGTGAAGTCCTGAGCGGGTTTGGGCTGAAAGGTGAAGTCCTGAGCGGGTTTGGTGGTATCGGGCTTGGTGGAAGGCTGAGATGGTGGGGAGAAAATGGGTTGCTGAGTTAAATCGGGCTGGGGCAGATGGGTTAATTGGGTTAAGGGATTGGGTTGATTGAAGGGTGGGATATTGGGCTGGGAAAGAGAGTGGGTCGGCCCAATTGTGTTAATAGAAAAGAGGGTAGGTAAAGATTTAGCCCTCTGTAGCCCATTGGAGGGGAAAAGCTGAGGGAGAGGGTTTGACATCGCGGCGCTGACAGAATGGTGGAGGGGAGGGGTGGAGAGCGCCGGTGAGATGGTTGGTAAAGAGCAAGGGGTCGGCGGCAACGAGCCGAAGACTACCGGACATTAGTGTTGGATGCGGACGGGATCGGTGGGACCGGTGGGGAGCAAGGCGGAGGCAATGGCTGCAATGAGATTCGCGACGGAGGGACTGCCTCTTGTTAATTGCTTCTCTAGGAACGCCAGAAGGGCCTGGCTGGCGGCTGGAAGAGAATAACTCGCATCGAGCTCCGGTTGAGAGGAGCTGGTCGGGTTCGGGATTTATGTTAGCGTGGGTATATCGGTGAGGGAAACATAGTGGAAGGTGAAAAAAGAGGCTGAGGAGGTTAACCTACCAGCGTCTCGCCGCTGGAGGAGGCGGAGATGCTCGGCGAGCAGTAATGCGACGGGGAATTAGGGGTGAACAGTGGTGGAGGAATGAAGGAGATGGGTCTTTTGTTGCTAGGTTATTTCTTTCTTGCTGCTAGGTTAGTTGTCTTTTGTTGCTAGGTTAGTTATCTTTAGTTGCTAGGTTAGTTGTGTTTTGTTAGTAGGTTAGTTGTCTGTTGTTGCTAGGTTAGTTAATTGTAGCTTCTAGGTTAGTTGAGCTTTGTTGCTAGGTTAGTTGTCTTAAGTTGCTAGGTTATTTCTTTGTTGTTGCTAGTTTGAACTAATTACTTTTATTAATAATGCTCGTTCCTAGTTCCGAGCCAATTATTAAGTTATTCAGTTAAAAATTTGACTTTAAGTCAAAAGTATTCTCGGTTCAATTTTATTCAGTAATCGAGCCAGTTCAGTAATTAATTAATTCCGGTATGTTTATTTCTATAAATGGATTTATAAGACGGGATTAATTAATATAAGATGACGAATAATCGATATTGAGTATATTTTGATTAATCGTTTATGATAAGTAGTGAACTGAACCCAAGTATGTTCGGTCATGAGTTGAGTCCTAATTAAGTAATAGTCGAGCCTGAGTACTAAATACTTCGATTTTTTCTACGTGTGCAAGTCATCAAGATAAAGATCATAGTATCGAGCCTTAGCACAATTTGAGACAAGTTAAGTCTCAAAGTAAGGTTAAGTATCCATGAACATTTAAGTTATAAATGTTCAAACAAGTGAGAAAATTTATTTAGATATTAGAGTCTATTTAGATTATTATAAGATGAACCGAAATTTGTAGGATTTTTGGTTTTTACGGTAATCGTTCAGTTTAAGTCCGAATGTGGTACTGTAAATGTTAGAATATTCTAAGATCATTATATTAGCTTCTAAGAAGCAATATGTTCTGTAAATTGAAGGAAAAACCAGGAGTAAAAGATTTAAATTTTAGAATTTTCAGTTTTACGGTAAACGTTCGTTTTAAGTCCGAATTGAGTTTCGTAATTTTTATTATTCTTGTTTTTCACAGCATGTTCTAAGACCATATATAAGCATTAATTTTCATAAAAAGAGTTTTAAGAGTCAGCCATTTTGAAAGAAAATGCATAAGAAATAAAAAGGATGATTTTTATTATTTCTATTATTTTTTTTTCTAAAGATTTTTATATGATGAATGAGGACATTTTTTCAATAATATATGGAATCAATTCCATCAGATTAAGCACGAAATTTTGGTCATCAATTGGTGAGAATGAGATGAGAAAATCACAACAAAGTTTTGCTAAGTCTTTAAGTTAGCATTTTTTTCAACAATTGGTGAGAATTTTATTACACTTTGGTGGACTAAGTTTTATCTATCCAAAGCTCATTCATGACTATAAATAGAGGCATTTAAATCATATTTTATCATCAAGTATCTTCTCAAATCATCATAGTTTCATCAAAAAGATAGAAAGAGAGAGAAAAATAAAAATAAAAATAGTAGAGTTTAATTTTCGAAGAAATCAAGGAGCAACTTTAGATTTTCAAGCAAGAAGGAGGTAAGATGCTATCTTTTTAACATGTTTAGTAGATGATATTAAGTGTTTATTAATGTTTTTATATGACTTAGATATTAAAGTTTTATATGAGTATAAGCATGCTAGAAGATAAGTTATTTCCAGCTCATATATATGTCATATGTGTTCAGTTATGATGAGATTTTTTACCTAGCTATGAAAAATCTGAAAATATATGCTTCCTATGGTTATTTCTTGTGTAAAAGAGGAGTAAATAGGATCAAGAATCAAGTAATTTAGTTTAGTATAACTCAAGATATGAATTTTTAAAGTTTATCATGCAAGCTGAATTTTATGTACTTGTTTCCAGCAGCAACTTTAAACTTGAATAAGTCGAGATATATGTATGATAAAATTATGAAATTTTTATTACATGTCTAATTATGAGTTAAGAATATGACTGTTAAATTTCATAATTTATAGATGAGAAACGAAGGAGTTAAGATAATAAGATGGCATATATGTAAAGATGAGTATATATGCAAGAATATTCATTATATGATCAAATTGTTAAAGTGAGATTTTTATGTATAATTCTCATATGAGTGATGAGCAATTTGACAAAGTTTTTGTTTAATATGTTGAGTTTACAATTTTTATACAGATTGTTTTAAATCTCACATATTAAGATCATAATTTAGTATTATGATTAAAAGTTGTATTGTATGAGTATTAAGTTGAAATATTTAGTACCATACAAGTTAAGATGAGTTCATTATTTATAAATCATGAATATGATGTTGGTAAAAGTTAAGCATGTTTTGAGTTTAAATACTCAATCAAGTATAATGTGAAATTTAGTTATTTTCACACTCGAGTTATTTAAGTGACATGCGAGTATAAGCCAATATCTATGATTTTGAAGACATGATTTATAATAGACCTTGAGTAAAAGTTCAAGAAAAGTTAAGTATTAACTTGAGCAATAGCATTCTATTAAATTTCTATAAGATTTGGATAAGTTAAGAATTCTAGTATCTTATTGAGTATACGAGCATAGTACTTAGTATATTTGTTTATATTTTATGTAACTTGCAGATACAATTACCCAGTACAGCACCTATCGTTTTTCAAATGCTTTCAAAGAACAAAGGTGGGGACCCGGAGTGGGTATCACATTGAGTACGATATTGATGTCATATAGGATGAGGAGGCATTCAGTTGTCTCAGAGTATATCCTAAGTTCTGAAGGAGGCCCCTAGTTGCCTAAGAAATATCCATCAGAGTGTGCACACGTATCCGATCAAGATATCGGAAGAGAAGAGAAAAGTTTAAATTTTTGTACCAGAACAGATTTCTGGTTACCGATTAGATATCGGTTTATGATTATCTTTATTCAGTACTCATCCTTATAAGTTTATCTTCAGGTAACAGGTCGAAGAGGAGGTGTGAGTGGAGCAGTGCTGGTGTGGATCGCGGATTCAGATTACGACAAGTTTTTATATGGACATTTAAAACAGTCTGTATAATTAATCACGTTTTCAAGTATTTCCGCTATGCACATTAAGACTTGAATTTGCATTTTAATAAATTTAAGATTTTAAGTTTTTACCATTCAGAAGTATGAATATGGTACATTTAAATGCAAAGTTTAAATAAATCTGTTTTCTTTATGCCTAAGGAAGTATTAGACAAAAGTTTAAAGATAAACGGATTTTAAGAGAAGATGAGTTTGAGTAGCATCCCGAGTTAGTCGCAAAAGATTTCGAAAGATTTATAAGTATTTTTGAAGTAAAAGTTGCGAAAAAGTTACTCTGATAAGCGGGGTGTTACTGGTGGTATCAGAGCTAGAGTTTTAAATGCTCTGTATACTAAAAGTTTAAGTTTCTGAAAGAAAAGTTTTCAGAGAAGCCAAAGTTTTACAGAAAATGTCAAGAAAACTCGACCACACCTCGCTCACACCTCGCCGACTACCGGGTAAGTGCTGTTAAAAGTTTTATAAAAGTTTTTAAATATATTCAAATTTACTAAGTCAATGCTCAATAAGAATTCAGTTATTCGAACTCTAGTAATCAGTCTAAATGCTCATATTAGTATTAAAGAATCTTAGTAGTATCATATATATCTTCCTATTAGAAGTCAGAACTATAGTCATAATTCAAGTTTGAACTATGGTTTATCAAGTTAATCAAGAAAGAGACTCAAACATTCTAAGTTAAGCCATCAGATTAAGTTTTGAGTTAAGATCTGACTCTAGAGGTTGACTATATATTTGAGCCAGTATCAGAAGTAACGGTATTTCAGTGTATAATAGCCATAAGTCCGGGTAAATCATGGGGGTTTTACATAAGAACCATAAGTCGGATAAGATCCTGGAGGCTTGAAACTGAACCGTAGAAACAAAGTTTCAGAAAGTAGTAGATCTTTAGAGTCAGAAGTTTGGGTATCTTATCAGTTAGATATCATGAACAAAAATTGGCAAAGTTCGAGATCAAGTTATCAGTTATTCTGTATTAGTACTTGTTAGTGACAGTACAGCTATACAAAGTACTTTTCAGAAACCAATGAGTATAAGTTTAAGGTATCGACATATAATAGTCACTTAGCCGGGTAAATTATGGAAACCTGAAATAAGGGTTATTAGTCCGAGTTTACCTGGAGACTTGAAATCGAACCTTAAAAGATATCAGTTAATAAGTATCACATTCCAGATACCGAGATGATTATTTAAATTTCTCGAAAAAAATTTTAGAAGTTAAGCAAGAGTAATCTGGACATGTGAAAGTTAAAGATAGTCTGTTTAATAAGCAAAGACTAATAAGTTTTCATCACTTTAGAGAAAGTATTCGTTTTCAAATATAAATGATGAGTTTAAAGCCAGCAGTAAGAAATGGTGAGAAGAAGCAAGATAGAAATTAAACTGGAACTCTAGCACAAGCTAGGTGTTTTCCGCAAATCATTGACAAATTCTTTAAGTTTAGCGTAGCTATTTATTAATGGCTATACTGTTCAAGTCAAATGGTTAGTGGTTATTCAGAATGTCAAAACCATTACAGAGAAAAGTTTTAGAAGTATAAAATTTTGACTGAATCAAGAAGTTTCTCAGTCAAAAGTCAAGTAGTATCGATATGTGAATCAAGCATATATCAGAAGAAGTATACTTTTGAAAAATCAATATACTAGAAAGATAGAAATTCTAGTATCATTCAAAGACAAAAGTAGACAAAGTTTTGTGTAGCACACTGTTGAGGATATTATTATTATTATTAAGAAGCTAGTGCAAAAGCATCAGAAACAACAGAAAATGGAGATACAGACAAGTAGAAGCGAATCCTCAA